GGACATTGGATAATCCATATAGCTAGACTGCAGATAGTCAATGAAAGTACAATCAGACTATGAGACAATGAGACTACAATTCCATAGAGCTAGACTGCAGATAGTCAGTTACCAGGTTCCCGCCCGGCCTATAGCCAGATGGCGGCCTGCAAAACCCCTCATCCCTCCGGGTGGACACCATATGGCATCCTTTCAGGCATGCGCAGTTTGCATGCCCACAGAGCCGCACAGCGGCACGATCTGTCACTAGCCGTGTACCTCGGACATGGCCAATGACAGATCTGAGTACCGGCCCCGTTGCCGGTACCATGTGGCCTGCTGTGACCAATCAGTGACAGTTTGTAAAAAATAAATAGCGAAAATAATTTTTTTAATTTTCCAAAAAAGTATGACAAAAAAATTACAACTTTAAAAAACTCGCCATGCCTCTTATGAAATACGTCGGACTATCTACTTTGCAAAAAGTGGTCATTTGAGGGATATCTGTACTGTTCTGACATTCTTGGACCTCAAGAAATTAGAGTGGCCGTCAGTACTTCACGATTGATCAATATTCAGATATATCCCATAGTTTGTGAACTCTATAACTTTCCTACAAACTAAATAATACATCCTAATTTGGGTTATTTCACCAAAGACATGTAGCAGAATACATCTTGGCTGAAATTTATGAAGAAAAATTATTTATTTGCAAACTTTTATAACAGAAACAAAGAAAAACGTGTTTTTGAACGGAAGAAAACCCTATTTTTCTTCCGTAAAAAAAAGGAACGGATGAAAAACAGATGTAAACGGATGAACAAAATTATGTAAACCGATAAAAAACGGATGTAAACTGATGTAAAACTGATATATACTGATCTGTTTTTTCTTGGAAAAAACACGACTGAAGTGATGAAAAAAACAGAACACCCGTGTGAAAGGGGCCTAAATAAATCAGAGGTGAGGAGTGTAATGGTGAACCTGTGTTGGATAGTAAATTTTATTCATTTTCTTTAAAAACGGCTTGAACATATCAACATAAAAGAAACAAAAGATTTAAAATAAAATGCTTCTAAACCAAAAAGCAAAAAATTTGCAGCATGTCAATCCTTAATTGTGGTGACTGTATAAATTTTCTTTTTTCTTTTTCTTTTATTTTCACCTGGTGGCCTTAACAGTAACAAGCTTCCTATCTTAGGGTGTGTCTACTCTGGATAGAGGAGCAATGGATACAACTTTGGGCAGCAGCATGGGAAGAGTGTAGTGTTGGATACACTTGCAGATTTAGATGGACTCACTTAACCAATTTAATGTGGTTAAAGCTGAAATTCAGCTAATAATTTATGCAGTTGCAGTTGTTTTTGCCTTCTGGGATAAAGGTTTTACATAAACCAAAAAAGTTGAGCACAGCATCCCATAAGGCTACATTCATATGGAAAGTTTCTATGCTAAAGGATACTTGCTTTTAGATTCATTTTTTTTAATGCATAATATTGTCCTGTTGTTTTTTTTCAATACCAGAATGCATACACATTTCCTCAGACACAGTTTTTGGATTTTGTGTTGTCAATATGTCACGATCGCACGATCGCCGCCACCAACATGTGACAATCGCACGACCGCGACCAACAATATTACGTCACGCCCACGGCGTCAGACCCCAGACCTTCTCACCAAATTCGTGACCAATGGACCGGCCAATCTAAAACCGCGATGTGACGTGCGTAACAAGGCTACACCCAGCTGCACCCTGCACAGCGATTGTCCAGCTAATGGGCTACAATCGGTGCCTGCAGCCTGAATGCGCTTGTTACTGGGTCGGGTTAATTATGCAACTAACCCTCTACTGCCACCACCACTTTTGTTTGGAGACTGGGAAACTCCCGTTATCAAATATACACTATAATGATTGAAATATTAATCTATAGAACACGGTCGGCAGGCCCGTTATACAGAGATTATAACAAACAGTAGCGTATCTTCAAAGGCAGGAATTTGTGAATTGCAAGTAAGCGCTTAAAAACAGTTTAACACTTTCAGAAAGAAAGATTTATTACTAAAAGAGTCAAACAGGTGCAATAAAATATTTACAGAAAAAGATGTAACTAAGATATATAATTATATATAGATAAAGACCCACAACACAGCAAAGAGATAATAGGAAGGAAGTTACAGGGTTAAGTTACTTGCCAATACGCTTTGGTTTGTAAGCAGATCCAAGTTGCAGAGCAAAAAGGGTCTTTGATCTCCTGCTGTTATGATGTTAAGATCAGGAGATGTCTTTAGCAAGTTGCAGAGCGGAAAGGGTCTTTGATCTCCTGCTGTTATGATGTTGTGAATCTGTATGCAGAGCATGTGTATGTACCTACGTGAATGTCTCTATTGAAAACAATGCAGTTCAGATCCACAAATAAAAAAAATACTTGTAAATGTGATTTTTTTACTCCCTTGTGAATAAGGTCTAAATAGTTTGTCTCAACCCTCTAACTGTAACCTTTTGCTGAAAAGTTCAGATTAGTTACAGAAGTTGAAAAATAACAGACTTACTGGCTGGATTACTAGGTGAACATAACAAAAAAAACCTAACTAAAGGAAACTAATGCAGCCACCACATTTAAAGACTGGGAAACTGAAGTATTTTTACTTTTAGGTTTAGATATACTTTAGATTAGAGTCTCTTAATCATTCTAGTTTCTAGAACATTCATGCACCTATCAGAGTCCTGGATGAGATTTGGGTATTTCACTATCTCTGTTCTTTTGTACACGTTCCACCTTGAAGAGTTGGAAACACATTTAGAGAGTGAAGGTGCTTCAAGTAATCGGAACTGCCTGCAATGTTCTTGAAAGGTAGACTTACTTTGAAGTCCCTAACGGAAGGATTTATTAAAACTGGAGAGTGCAAAAACTGTTGCAACTCTGCTCAGAAACCAATCAGCTTTCAAGTTTTATTTTCAAAGCTTAAATGAACAAGCTGAAGTTAGAAGTTGAATGGCTACCATGTACAGCTGCACCAGATTCTGAGTGCTCCAGTTTTAGTAAATCTGTCCCTAAGAGTCCATGCACACTAGAGAAAATACTAGAACCTTGGGCAGAAAAAGCCACATAAAAAATTCCCAATATGATTTTTTGTTTCTGCCTGAAAATGCCCCTCTGCAAATATGTCTGTATACCACATGGACACATAGGCTAACAGAGAGTTGCTTATTCAGGCTGAAGAAAAAAAATCCCAAATGTCTGTATAAACAGCATTTTTTTTTCTGCCTGAAAACACTCCTCTGCAAATATGCCTCTAAATGCCCCAATGTGCATGGACTGGACATGTAGGCTAACATAAAGTTGCTTAGTGTGCTTATATTTTGATTTCCTATGTAAACTTGGTATTGTGTGTATTATCAGCATAGGGCCATCTTGTGGTCATTGTGAATATTGCATGTAGGTTTTATTTAAAGCATTAGTTCACCTATAGAATAAACCAGTGTTTCTCAACCTTTTTTCACTCAAGGCACGCTTTAAAATTATGGACAGTCCCGAGGCACCCTTAAAAATTATGGACAGTCATGAGGCACCCTGTTCTAAAATGGGGTGCCTCAAGACTGTCCATAATTTTAAAAGGGCACCCCATTCTAATAGTTTTATATAACACAACAACATCCACAATTGTAGGACACCCAACATTAGAGGTAATTTATTCTTCCAAAGCAAATCCACTTTTGCACACTGGTACCGACTAGTATTCCAATGTTTCTCTTCTCCCTCAGTTTTTACCCATCACTAAGCTAATGCGACCCTAGCACTGATGGAGGGGACAGGGAGGGTCAAACTAGGATGGCGTGCAAGCAGCTGATATTCTCCTTATCAACTGATGATATCATTGGTTGTCAGGATGCTGGCGGCTAGAAGGTCATAGTGGTGCACAATGAAGACCTGTGACTTTGTGTAACTAAAAGGCAGGCTTGTGAAAGGATGGAATAAACGATAAGGTGAACCAGGGGCGGACTGACCATTTGGAAACTCGGGCACTGCCTGAGGGCCCGGGGTCAGTAGGGGGCCCCATGAGATGCCCCTGGTACCTTTTTCATAGGCTTTTTTGAGTTTGGGCAAGGACACAGGGGCCCCATGATCCCCTATTGCCCGGGGGCCCCATGAGTTGCAAGTCTACCCCTGAGGAGAACTAACACCATACACCTTCCCCATCACACACTCCCCACTCCCCCCCCCCCCCCCCCAGTGTCCTCTGTACTTATCTCCAGGGATGCTGAGTTATCAGTGCCGATGGAGCTGGTGCAGCGGATCGCAGATTTGATATCCCCACTCCCCAATTGGATATCCTTTTACTCTGCAGCGCATCCAGGACAGAACAATTTACTGGCACTGACCAGTCAGAGTCACTCTGGCACTGCACAGAGAAGAGGGAGAGGAGTGGGAATCCCCAGAGGTAAGTACAGTTGGGACCAGTGGAGGTGGGGAGGGGAGGGTGTACATTGTTAGTTCATCTTTTCATTTTTCTGAACAGGCGAACTAACACTTCAGTTACCTCTAGGATTGTATTATTAATATAAACTGTGCTCTGATTGATCCTGATGTTGTACATCTCAGTTTTCTCCCCTTTTCCCCTCAGTGGGGAGATTTTTGCTCTGATCCCTGGTGTAAATTCCCACTACATACATATGTAAGTTGGACATTACCCTGTTTACATTGTCCATTTATGCTGTTATGGTTTGGATCAGTGGTGGTCAACTCAAGTGTGGCCTCTGGCATCACCAAAGGGCCACACATAAAATGGCATGATACAGGAGATGGTCAGAGACTACAGACAGGATACAATATATGATCAGAGACTACAGACTTGATAAAAGAAATGGTCAGAGGCTGCAGGCATGATGCAAGAAATGGTCAGAGACTGCAGACATGATACGAGAGATGGTCAGAGACTGCAGACATGATACAAGGTATGGCCAGAGACAACAGACATGATAAAAGAAATGGTCAGAGGCTGCAGACATGATACAAGAAATGGTCAGAGACTGCAGACATGATAGAAGAGATGGTCATAGATTGTAAAGTGGTGACCAAACTGTTGGCGCTATATAAATCCTGTATAATAATAATAATAATAATAATAATGGTCATAAATGGCAGACCTGATACAAGAAATGGTCTGAGACTGCAGACATGATACAAGAAATGGTCAGAGACTGTGGGCATGATACAAGAGATGGTCATAAACTGCAGACAGGATACAAGAGATGGTCAGAGACTGCAGACAGGATACAAGAGATGGTCAGATACTGCAGACAGGATACAAGAGATGGTCAGAGACTGCAAACATGATACAAGAAATGGTCATAGACTGCAAACATGATACAAGAGATGGTCAGAGACTGCAGACAGGATACAAGAGATGGTCATAGACTGCAAACAAGATACAAGAGATGGTCAGAGACTGTAGACAGGATACAAGAGATGGTCAGAGACCGCAGACATGATACAAGAAATGGTCAGAGACTGCAGACAGGATACAATAAATGGTCAGAGGCTGCAGACATGATACAAGAAATTGTTTAGAGACTGCAGATATAATATCAAAGATGAAAAAGTAAAAAGTAACTAATATAATATAATTTTGGCAGGAGTTATCATATAAATTATTTAATTACTGGTAACAGTAGATATGTGGTGTATCTTTTGGAGTGCCCCTGCAAGAAGCAGTATATAGGGAGAACAACCAGGAGATTGAGGGATCGCTTGAGAGAACACCTTTACAATATTAGAAAAGGATTTAAGGAACATCCAGTTCCTAGACACTTCAGAGAATGCCACCAGAAGAACCCACAGGAATTAGATTTGTGGGGATTGATTTGATTTGCCCCCATTGGAGAGGAAGGAAACAAACGTAGAGCGGTACCTATCCTTGAAACAAAGTGCATATATGAAATGCAGACATTGTCCCCTTTAGGGTTGAATGTCGACATTGACATCAATTCCTAAAACAGTCAGTTAGAGTTTGCAGTAGCACTACTACCTATTCCTTCTTTCTATTATAGAGTGATGAGTTTTGAGCATTATATTTGGGTGTTTTTGAAAATGCAAGCTGCATATGCATATTTGATTATTCTTATTTAGCTATTTTAACCACTTCCAGTCGGGACACTTTTACCCCCTTCCTGCCCAGGCCAGTTTTCAGCTTTCAGTGCTATCACACTTTGAATGACAATTGCATGGTCATGCAATACTGTACCCATATGAATTTTTTAGCATTTTTTTTGAGACAGATAAAGCTTTATTTCGGTGGTATTTATTCACCACTGGGATTTTTATTTTTTTTGCTATGTAAATGAAAAAGGCCAAAATTTTTGAAAAAAAAGTGTTTTTCTTATAAAATTTTGCAAATAAATATTATTTCATCATAAATCTTGGCCAAAATTTATTCCATTATCTTTTTAGTAAAACAAAATAACCCAAACTAGTTTATAACCAAAAATGATAATTTTTAAACTTTTTTTACATTTTTTTTTGAAGATTTGTTTTTTTTTTTTTACACTGATTGCTTTTACACCCATAAAGGCTATAAAAGCAATCATTTCTAGCTGCATTCTTGCAGCCATTGAGAACTACTGAGTGAGCTGTGATTCGTCACAGCTTGTCACATGGTACAAGGCTGTTGTGAATAGCTTGTACCATGTGACCTCTCTGATGATTCACAGATTTCACACGTAGTAAGCAATGATGTCACAAGTGACATCTTGCTTACTACTCTGCATGTGATCACTGATTGGCCAATCAGTGATCACATGATCGGGACCTCGCACAGAGGTCCCGTCCGACGATCGGTGTGCCACTGGGAGGACACAGCGGGCACCGGATCGCGGTGCTGCGCACTCCCAGGGAGCGCGCACAAGCAGGGTGCGGGGAGGCCGTTTGTAAACGGCCACCCAACTCTGCACTGCCACGGTCTGGCCGTTTATATACAATGGCCGGATGGGAGGTGATTAATAAAGTACTACATTATGCACATCTCCTTGAGCTCCGTGTGTGAGCTTTTTTTATTAAGGTGCATCTTGGTCACTTCGGTTGGGGTCTGCTGTGAGGAAGGAGTAGAGGAGGCCATCACAGATCATATCATTTTGGGGCATATGGTTGCCAGATTTTTGGTGAGTGCATAGAGGTGAAGGTCCCACAGAAGAGGTGTCACCACTGGATAGTTGTCACTGATCTTTGTTCAATAGTCAATGGACTTTATTATATATTAGTCGCGTTGCACTTTTTTCACTTTTGGTGCTAATAGATCTATTGTAATATTATTAACATTGTATACTTTACGGTTTCTCGTGGTATCATATGATTTACTTGTATTTTGTGATTGCGAATTGCTATATACAATTTATATGTAGCATTTTTTAGTACTGCACATTCTGTTTATTTTCTATTTTGGGTTGGTCAGCAGCTTTTTCTCATCTCCAAGTGCTCACTACACCTTGCTTGCTTACATCGATGATACCAGAGATAGTCAGAGAGTGCAGGCACGATACAAAAGATAGTCAGAGACTGCAGATAGGATACAAGAGATGGCTTGAGACTGTGGGCATGAAACAAAAGATGGTTAGGGACTATGAGCATGATGCAAGAGATGATCAGAGACTGTGAATATGATATAGGAGTTGTTGGAAAGTGGGAGCATGCTTCAAGAGACAGTCATAAAATGGAAACACATTATGCAAGACTGCTAGAGATCACTGCTATAACAGGGCAATAGGGAAACATAGATTAGTGTCTGCAAAAGTGCCAAAGAGCCACAGGTTGGGCAACGTGGGTTTGTATAGTCTTAAATGTATATACTGTATGATTTGTTTGCAGTGATTGAATGTAAAGAGAGCAAATTCATACTCCCGATGAAGCTGATTCATACTGGTCAGGGAAACACCTTGAGATTTCTCCACACCCATCACATCATATCCACAAATTAAAGAGCATCTATGGTCAAAATGTAAAATAATATATTCATAGTATTTAAATTATTTCTAGCCTACTCCTATTACTCTGAATGATCTTAAGGTTTGTAAACTTAATTTGGGAAGATCCCCACACATTTGCTTCCTTGAATTCTGTGACACATATTCTCTATGCCCTGTGAGTAGGCACTGCTGTCTCACACATTTCACAGAGCCTGGCTTCTGAACTATAAAGGAGCTAAGGTGGAGTCAGAACAGGAATCACATCTTGCAAGCAGCAGGCAGCTTGGGATATGCAGTCCTTAGAAATTGAAAGTAAAATTGAAGTAGAAAGGAGAAGCTGCAAAGAATGCAGGCAGAGAAACCAGGAAGTTGTGGAACAAGACGACCAGCAGATAGGCAGCACTCACGAGATGCAGCCTGGTGCCCACTGCGCGTGCGCTAGTCGTTCTGCGCCTCCTGGGATTGGTCCGGCAGTCTTCTGGGACCTGTGAAAGTTCCCATGAGACTCCAGGAGGAAGGAGGGGGCTGAACGTCCGGCTCACTTTGCCGCGGCAAACCGAGCTGGATGTGGGAGTGGGAACCTGTCAAAAACAGGTATCTGCTCTCCTCTCCCTTCCAAAAGATGCCAAATATGGTAGTGGAGGGGGGAGGAGGCAATTAAGCAGAGTTTCCACTTTTGAGTGGAACTCCACTTGAAGGCTGGGACCAGGGCTGGGACAAGGAAGGAGGGGGGGGGGGCAGAAGGGGCATGTGTCCTGGGTGCTATAGTGAGGGGGGGTGCACTGGGAGTTTCTGCCGCTTTTCTGGTCTGACAGGAGAGACTTTCATTCTCCCTCATATTACTGTACAATGTACTTACTCGCCAATACTGCCATTCCAGCCACTCCAACTCTGCCTTTTCTCTCCATCATACTGAAACTATTAATCACTCCCCTCCTTCCTCCACTCCCACCCTCAACTTGTTCTCCTTGGGTCACTTCACCATCTTCCTTGGTGTCACTTGATCTGGTTCACCTCAACCCCCGCTGTCTGCACATCTCTCTACCTTCCCTGGACAATCATACAGTAAGTCAGCACCGATTCTCCTGCTCCTCCTCCCTGTTCACTTCTCTTTCTGTCTGCTCCAGGGGTGGACTGACCATTTGGAAACTCAGGCACTGCCCGAGGGCCCAGGGTCAGTAGGGGGCCCCATGAGAAGCCTCTGGTACCTTTTTCATAGGCTTTTTTGAGTTTGAGCAAGGACACAGGGGCCCCATGATCCCCTATTGCTCGGGGGCCCCATGAGTTGTCAGTCCGCCCCTGGTCTGCTCTCCCCTCCATAAATCTGCACTGCACACATCCCAGCAGCCTCAGGTCCCAGCTCTTGGTATTCTACACCCCCTTCTTTCTGACACCCTTTCTATCTCAGTTTATTTTTATCTCTACTACCTGTCATGTCCCTATAATGCAGCTTAGCACATTCTCTTCACTCTTTCATTCTGCTCTTTAATAATCACACTCTTACTACCCAGACCCCCAACAATCAGTCTTTTTTAATCCCTAATAGTGAGTTTACACTGTTATGCGATAGTTTAGCACAATTGTGTGGTTTAGATGTAGTTTTAGATGTGCTCCTGTTGAATTTTTTCATGAAAGCACTTTAAAGTCATGCATGCTGCATCTTTGATGCACTTTAAAAAAATGCACAGTCTAATAGAATCCAATGGGAGCACACCTAAAACTGCATATGAACCACACATTCAATCTGGCTGCGATCATATCACAGCGCACCGGTGTGAACCCACTGTAAGGCTAGGTTCACATCTTTGCATGGCAGGAACATGCACACAATTGTATCTTTGCTGACACAGAAATGCACATGCAGCAGTGCCATTAATTGTCAATGGAACCTCCACACATCTGCTAACACACACACATTTTCACACACATCACATGTAAAAAAAATGTAAACAACAATTTAAAAACACAAATAATTAAGGTCTTGTTCAAATGTGCTTTGGTCCCTACCACATGGAAGAAAAATATATTTGAAATATATTTTAAAAATATTCAATATTATTCCCAAATATATTGACATACATTTGAAATACTACAATTTTGGCCATACTCAATATATTTCAAAAAATATATATATATATATATATATATATATATATATATATATATATATATATATATATATATATATACACACATACAGTATATACTGCATGTTGAATTGCGTATTTTATATATTACAAAATATATAAAAATTATTTAAAAAAAATGTTTTTAAATATATTCTTCCGATTTTTTTTAACATATACAAAAGTCATTTTAACATATATTTTTACATATATTTGTAAATGCATTCCAAAAAGGTAGGTTAAATGTATTTCTAAAGACATACAGTATATTTGAAAATGTATTTTTAATAATATTTTTCACATATTTTGTAATAAAAACGCATTTCAACATAATATATATATATATATATATATATATATATATATTTATTTTTTTTTTTAATTTAT